GGAGTCTCGCTCTGTTGCCCAGGCTGGAGTGCAGTGGCCGGATCTCAGCTCACTGCAAGCTCCGCCTCCCGGGTTCCTGCCATTCTCCTGCCTCAGACTCCCGAGTAGCTGGGACTACAGGCGCCCGCCACCTCGCCCGGCTAGTTTTTTGTATTTTTTAGTAGAGACAGGGTTTCACCGTGTTCGCCAGGATGGTCTTGATCTTCTGACCTCGTGATCCGCCCGTCTCGGCCTCCCAAAGTGCTGGGATTACAGGCTTGAGCCACCGCGCCCGGCCCGTCTCCTTTCTTAAGACTGAACCGCAAGCTGTTGCCTGGGTGTATTTTGTTTACCCATTTCTGTCGGTGGACACATGGGTGACTTCCACAGTTTAGCTGTGGTGAATGATGCTGCTGTCAGCACGGGTGCACAGTGACCTCTGGAGACCCTGCCTTCAGTTCTGGGTGTAGATCCGGAAGTGGGATTGCTGGATCATTGATCATTCTGGTTTTATTTATTTATTTTTGAGACAGCGTCTCGCTCTGTTGCCCAGGCTGGAGTGCAGTGGCACGATCTCGGCTCACTGCAGCCTCCACCTCCTGGGCTCAAGCGATTCTCCTGTCTCAGCCTCCCAAGTAGCTGGGACTAAAGGCAGGTGCCTCCACGCCTGGCTAGTTTTTGTATTTTTTGTAGAGACAGGATTTCATCATGTTGCATGGACTGGTCTTGAACTCCTGGGCTCAAGCAGTCTGCCCACCTCGGTCTCCCAAAGTGTTGGGATTACAGGTGTGAGCCACCGCACGTGGCCGATAATTCTGTTTAAAGAGCTGCTGTGCCATTTCCCACGGTAGCTGTAGCATTTTCCACCCCCTGCAATAGTGCATGAGTGCCGCTGTCTCCCATCTTCTCCAGCTCTTGCCTTTTTCTGTTTTTTGACAGTAGCTGTACTAATGGGCGTGAGGTGGCATGTCATTGTGGTTTTGGTTCTCATTTTCCTGGTAATAAGTGATGTTGAGCATTTTTTCATGTGCCTGTTGGCTATTTCTATTTTTTTTTTTTTTTTT